TATTTTAACAATAGCTGGTGAACTTGAACCATGTCTTGATTGTCTTACAGATGCATTAGTAACAATGGCTGAAAATCAAAAATTACGTCAAGATGCAAGTGAATTACGTGCTCTTGTTCATACATCACAAGCAGGTAAATTTATCAATTATTTTATTTGATCATATAATGAAAGTTATTTTTGTTTAGGTGCTATTATTGGAAAAGGAGGTGAACGTGTTAAAGAATTAAGGTATGAAAAAAAATTGAAAGATCATGTTTTTTTTTTTATCAATGCATTTAGAGCTCGACATGGACTTGAAGTTAAAGTATTTACTGAAACATGGTAAATAATTTTTTTTAATCATTTTTATGAATGAAGTTTGTTATTTTATTTCCAATTAAATAAAGTCCAAATTCAACTGATCGTGTTATCCTATGTCGAGGTGAACAACGAGCTATATTAAGTTGTCTTCGTGACATTTTTACACAAATTGAAAAAATTCCACCTCGTGGTCCTATTCGTCCATGTATAGAATAAAATAAATTTTGGTTTTTCTTTCTTTTTAAATAATCTATCGCTATTTAGATGATCCTTCATGTTATGTCGAACATCAAATTCAAGGCTATGGTAAAAACACATTTCTTTTTTTTCTTCTCTCTAATAAATATATCAAATGTATTTTTCAGGTGGTTTTGCACATGATGATACAAGTGTATATGGCGATCGACGAGTTCGTGGTGGCGGTGGTGGCGGTGGTAGAGGATACAATAATAATTTCGATAATTGGGATATGAATAATATGCGAGGTGGAGGTGGTGGTGGTGGCGGTGGTATGTATAATGATGATTATGTTGGTCCATCGAGTCAAAGTTTCTATCCACCACCATCACAACCTATGATGGCTGGTGGTAGTAGTAGTAGTGGTGGTGGTCAAGGTCAAATGCGCCCTTTAATCGATTCGTTTTCACAACCTCCTGCTACTCAAACACAACAAGTAAGATATGAAAGGAAAAAAAAAAACAAGATTTTTTTATTTAAATATTATCTAGGTTACAATTCCACATGAACTTGCTGGCGCTATAATTGGTTCTCGTGGTACACGTATTTCTCAAATTCGTCAACAATCGGGTGCATCAATTAAGATCGATGATCCATTACCGGGAACTAATGATCGAATAATAACTATTGTTGGTACTCCAAATCAAATAGCCCAAGCTCAACATTTACTTCAAACTGCTGTTCGACAATCAGGTCTTTATCCAGGATGATTATTCTTATGATTAATACCAAGAGAAAAAAAAACAGACTTATATGAACGTGTGTGTATCCTCTTTGCAAATAAAAAGAAAGAAAACCAAAGTTTGATTTTTTGATTGATTGATTTTTTTTGTTCCGTTTTATTTGTTTGTGTATAGTGATGCACTAATCTCTAGTTCATTTTGTTTTTTGTTTGTTCTAAAAGAAGGGAAAGTTTATTCCCACCTTTTTTTTTTTTTGGTCTATCTATGATTATCAAAAATAGATTTGTTCTTATACGAGAAAAAAAAAAAAAGAAACAAACAGTATCTATTGCTCGCTTTTAGTATGCTGTGTATTTAATTAATATCAAATATTTTAGTTACATTTTCGTTTTTCTTCACTATTTAATATTCGAATTGATTATCATTGAATTAAAACGACACAAGAATAGTGTTGGTTGTAACTAAGTTTTTTTTGACACGATGTTTATTGTGACGAAAGTTCGATAAAAGGTAAAAACAAATAAGAATGATGAGATTATTAACCAAGAAGAAGAAGAAAGCTATATTCTTAATTAATTCGATTCCGTTTAATCGAATAGTAATATATATGTTTATTTTTGGTTAACTCTATTTGTAGCAAAAGCTGTACTTTTGTTATGCTTTCCGGAATAACTAATGTAGACAATACAGACACAAGATATGTGACTGTCCGTGACCAAATTCCGGTCATGCAGCACACTACTCAAGACTTACGAAAGAATCTCCTCCTCAAATGTTCCTTATCAATTTCAATGAATTTTTTTTTGACAATAAAATCTATATTCTAGAGGTCTCAGGTTTTTGGCAAAACTTGTATTTTAGATTTTTGTTTAGAAACTTTCCGCGTACAGAGAATTCAACTAGATTAGTCTTTATAAAAAAAAATTTTGAAATTTTGAATAGAGTCTCTTGAAGATATGAAGCTTTCAAAAAATACATGTTGTATATACTTACGATCCATAGAAAAAGATCTATATCTTGAACAGACTTTGTTCAAAACTCAATAGGAACTCAAATCGTTTTAGGACTTTTGATTAGAATACGAAGTAGTATCTATAGACACAAATTCATTGAAATCGAATGGAAACATCTGAGAATATTTCCTCCATTAGTGATTGATATATCTCGAGTAGAATTCTCATGAAAAATATCTAAGACCCTTGAACGTGTTATTCAATAAGTAGCTCACGAAATACCAATAAAATCATAATAGTTATTAATGCGATAGGTTTTCTTCATACTATTGACTGTTAAAATGATAAAAATATACATGTCCTATTCTGTATTTATTACAATATGTATCGAAGTGAATATTGACAATTGAAAGCAATATTCATTAACGATTTTCTTATAAGTTTTTTAAGTTACGTAGCTCAACTAAAACTGCAAAAAAAAAATCTTTCTGTAGGGAAGTAGTTGCTTATATGACAATCATGTTTCAGAAAATGATCATATTGATTCTCAACAATTTTTCCCTCGGAAAATTAACTTAAGCTTCTCAGAACAAACAAGATCGTATCATTTGTTATTCTTCTGACAACGTAAAATTTCTGTTATGAAAGCATGATGTGTATATCAAATATTACCATCGAAATGTTGTCATCAATCTTGGTAATGGAAATAACTCGGAACTATCATAAATCAACTTCAGAATTAGACAGTGAGGTTCTAAAATCTCTTGGCATATCAATTGCAAAAAAAAAAGAAGCTTGGTCGCTCGATTGTGATTCTGTCACGTTATTTCTGACGAAATTGAAATATTCATACAAAGGTCACTTAGGTTCATGGATAGAGTGATTTTAGAGAACTTATTGTTAGAATCAGGAGTATCTATTTTTCAAATATAAATAATTTTCTTAAGAAATGACGAAACTTAGATATCTTGTCATATTTAAAGAATCTATTCTAAACAATTTTAAAACATGTGATCAACTTTGATAAAACTGCATTTTTATATGTGGTACTAAAAAATAAAAACGTATGCCAAATTTTGTTTTCAATGAATTCTGATCGATATTTGAAACGACATAGATATAGGCTACACTTTTGTATACTATTGACATTGCCTTATAAGATAGCCATATTCATTTTGTAGTGGAATTTCGCCTAGATAAATAGATAGGTCGATAAAAAAAACAGCTTTGAATACTCTTCTATTATTAATTAAAAAATTCAGTACAATACTTTCGAGTAGAATGAAGATAATTAAATTTTTTATCAGAAATATATGTATGATTCATGGTGTGTAATAATTCTATGTAACCAATTACAATTTTTTCTGCTTACAAGTTTTCGTATAGCTGACAAATCGGGGCAAAATAATAAAGATAAAGGTTTTGATTTTAGCGTACAATTACATAAGAAGAAATGATATATTCAAGGTTCAATATAAGATTATCGATTCTTTTCAATAAACAACATTTCATTTTTCTTCTTTTTGATTTAATACAATTATTAAAACAATATCTCATCAATAAATCTTATCTGAAACAATTTTATGATAAAAAATGTTTTATGCAAATGTTGTAATGACAATTCTTGCTTTCCATCGAATAGTGCAGATTGTCTTAAGAACGACTAATTAAGAATTTGATTTCTCATGGAAGAAAATTTTTTGATTGTACAAGAATTATATCGAGAATATGATAAAGCTTCTCTAACGATTGTGANGAAACATCCTCAACTGGTGCAATAATGATAAAACATGAAAAAAAAATTCTCAAGAGAATAATGAAACAATGAATGGTCGAATATGAACAGAATTTGGTGATATTATACAAGTTGTTGCAGGTTAAAAGTTTTCATTAAAAAAGGAAAAAATAATATTTTCTTTGCATTATATAGAAAATCCATTAAGAGATATGTGAAATTGAAAACAACAAGACATATTTGCATCTGAATTCTATGATCCAGCAAAAAATTTTTTTTTTTAAATTCAAGTGATATTCCAACGACATCAAAAAAGAATCTATCATAAAAAAAATTTAATTCTTTTTTAATAAAAAAAAAAAAAAAAAAAAAAATGTATTACAAAAAGTTCGTTTATGAATATACACTTTTATTAACATCGACATAAGAAAGAACTAATATAATTCTTCTATAATTATATACAATATTTAATCTATGATTGAGAAACAACTGTTATATTATTTTGTTTTTTACAAATAAATATTTTTAAAAATATCCAACCAGTAAATAGATATAATGGTACCATACATTGATTAAAAATATTTAATGATGATAATTGTTTATAAATAAATGCTTTATATAATAAAGTATTAAATACAATTAAACAAATAACTAATGGTACATGTGTAAAAATTTTATGTACAATTAATCGATATGTATATGCTGGTGTTAGACTAGGACGTTGTTTTTGTTCAAACCATAAACGAAGTAATACAATAAGAATAAAATAAAAATGTATTGCATTAGTTAAAAATAATGGAAGAAATAAATGAAAATTTGTAATTAATTGTAAGTCGAAATCATAACGTAATACTACTAGAATTGAAAAAATTAACCAACCAAATAGAATAAATAATAATTCAATAGGACGAATGCTTAACCAAGAATAAAATTCTGTAAACGAAAGCATTTTGTTTTGAATTTTGTTGCTCAAAAAAACAAAAAAGAGAAAGATGCTGTTTGTTTCATGTAATGATTCATCATTACATATGGGTAAAATATGGAAGACAAGTTGTCAAAAACATGGATTCTTTTCATTGTTAAATAAAAATGGATGCTGGTGGTGTTGTTCGTCGAGTTGTTAATAAACCACGAGATGTTATTCCTCGAAATCCAGCGATTAATCCTGATGTAAAAAGTTTCTTTTCTTTTGAAAAGACTTTTGTTTTATGAACTATTGTTTTTTTTTCTTTCTTTGATTAGACATTATTAGATGTGCCAGAATTTAATTTTACATATAATGATTCTGATACAATACATGCTGAAATATCTGGTAGAAATTTGAATTTTATTTATAATTCTTTGATTTGTTTTTTTGTTTTTTCTATAGAGTTATATACTTATTCAGAAGAACCGGAATTTGTTTGGAATGCTGAAGCATTTAATATCTTATTTCAAGCTAAATGTATGAGATAGATAGAGATATTTAAGGTTTATTATTGACTTTTTTTTTTTTATTTGAATAGATGGTGAAAATAAAAAATGGAAAGAATATTCAAGAGAAGATAAAATTGATTTTATTATTTATTTATTGGAACAATGTGAACTTGTAGATCGAACTCGAAGATGTCAAGCAATGAGAGCTATTTTATATCTTGTACAAGGTAATGATTTTCATGGCTATATGAAAATATTGATATTTAGTTAGAATAAAAAAAAATTTTTTTTTTTTGTCAAACTTCTCTATTTTTATCCTTAAGTCAGAAAAATCTTACTGTTTGCTTAGCCTTATATTAGTTTCGATTTTGGTACCTAAGTGAGCATTTTTGCATAGATCAGGACGAACATGTGATTCTTTTTTTACATCTTTAATTATAATACTCAATGAAGTTTTTCTGATAATGTCTAATATCTGTTCTATATAATGTAGTTATTTAGAGTGCTGACTAAACTCGAATTATGTCATAAAATATGGGTTTTCATTAATTTTGATTGCTGAAAAAAAAGCCCTTATTTTTCGAAATCATTTATTAATTGTAAACACGTCTCTCTAACAAAGATCGGTAGAAATTCTCGATATCAAACTCAATGGATAGCTTGAAAAAATTAATATTTTCTGGTTTTGAAATACTTCGTGATAGTACTTCAAAAAAGAAACATAAGACCAACTTGCTCAGTAGATCGAGGTTTTCTTTTAAACTTCAGAATCATGCAGAGAACTTGTCTAGTCGAACATGTTCTTAGAATTTTTCAGCCTTCAGTAAGTATTTTGAATGAAATATTTTATACGATGAATTATTGTCACACTATATTGAAAATAAAAGTTAATAAAGAATTTTTGTACCATTTGTTAAGTAGACTCATATAGAAGTAATAAACTCCTCTCTACAATAGAAGACTCGACATGTTCTATTGTCCGAAGGAGTTTATATTATGTAAAACTTATCTTATATAGCGAGAGATAGATTATATTTATTAAGAAAATTCTAATTTATCGCGCATTCATTATTTTTATTGTAGGTGTGTTTTATCAATGTTCCGATGTTGATGAATATATGTTAAATGCTAAAGAAAATGTTTTATTATTATATACATGTGATGGTGTTCACATATTTGTAGATTTATTTAATATGGAATTAAATCAGTATGTTGAATATTATTTTGTTTGTATAAATTATATTTTTTTAAAAATTTTTTTTTAGTTTATGTAATGAAAATAATATGAAAACAGCAAATAAAAATTTAAGTGATAATCAAGAAATGAGGTAGAAATCAAGTTTTCGTTTTTTTTTTTTATTGTATTTTCATTTTATATTATTTTATTTATATTAGAGTTATTATTAGTATACTTTATACAATGATTGAATTTGCACGACAAATAAATGAAAATGCAGATGAACAATGGAAAAGTTTTCAAGAATTATTAAAACATGAATTATGTAAGATGCACATAGTACTTCATTGATTTATATATAGTTTGATAAAGCTGGTTACTGATATGCAGCATCTATTTGAAATAGATGCTGTATTCATTACAAAATAAATGCGAAAACCTCGGATTTAAATCCGAGTGTTATGTGTACTTCAAAAAGTGAAAACGGTATATTCACTGTGTTTTTTATCACTAAATTGCAAGGAGAAAATACAGGCGTGCTAACTTACCATGGAACACACTCTATGCGACTCTATCCGGTGACCACTGACTCTACTCTCAGGCTGATATAATATCTTTAGAAATCACAGGAATTCAGTTCAGATTCGTGTTTAGCTTGGAAAACTGAGTAAGAAGAGTTATTTTGGAATGGATTTGCGTTTGTATCTAACAGGATTACGATCGTAAGCAACCTCATCAATCTATAACAGATATATGATAGATACAGCCATCAGTATTTTCCTAATAAATCACCAATAGTAATAGCTATCGAGTTCGGGTTTTTACCTTTCGATAGTCCTTTTGACTAGCTACAAAAACAGGCATTTGAGAAACCCCCAAACTGCTGGTCATCTGAGACATATCTAGGCAATTTGGTTTCTAGATGCAGTTTTTGTGTATTTTGAGACCTTTTTCAGTCAATGTTTCGTTAGAAAACTACAATTTTTTTCAAAACTAATATCAGATTCAGAATCAGCGTTAAAAACTGAGTCGATTTATATATGTTGTGGATAATTCTGAGAAATTTTTTTTTTTTTTTTCAAAAATCCCTGTACTCCCCCTCAGGGATGGTCTGATCAAAAATGACAATTTTTTCGATAACTCAGCCATTTCGTGATGGATCCTTCTCATCTTCGAACTCGACCTAGATATTGATGAGACAATTCTGTGCACAAAATTTCAGCTCAATCGAATGTAATTATGAAGAGTTATCGAATAAACGGACGGACGGACACACTGACCGATTTTAGTAGTGTACTCACTTTTTGAGTACACAAAAACAATCAAATCTAATAATCATTAACAAAAAAGAAAAGTTTACCTAGAAAATAATCGAACAACACCACCACTATCTTTAACTGAATCAACAAGTTGAACATAACGTCGTCGTTTATTAAAATCAATATTTCGAAAAAGTTCATCAGTTATCAAAAGATCTATAATAAGAATAATACAACAAAAAAAAGACAAAGAATAATTATGATCTAATATCGAATATATGTATTTACATTCAATTGCTTGTGATTGATTTGCTTTTTCAACAACTTCTAAACCATAATATGCTTTTTCTGGTTCATCATTTAATAGATGCATAAATTGATCAAGTAATTTCATTTCTTCGGCAGCTTTTGTATCCGATAAACGATTTAATACTAATGGATCTTGTAATATTTCTGTTAATGCATGTTTAAAACCATTACTTGAATGTAATAAAATAAATTTATTTCGATTTTCAAGTAAATGTCTTTCATCTTCACGTGTTGCTTTATTTAACATATATTGATAAAATTGATCTTTTATAAATCCTGGACTAGCTATAATAACAGCTTTAACAATTTGAAAATTAATATGTTTTATAATAGCAGCTATAATAGAATCAAAAAATTTTTCCATTCCTTTATCATGTTGACCACAAAGACCTTTTCGTTTACGTGGTATTGTATGTTCAATTTTTTGTCGATGTATTGTTAAATGTTCTGTTATTAAACATAAATTAGCTAAACCTTCATGCATAACAACAGCAGCTACATCAGCTTGATGAGCTGGATTACAAGCCATTTCAACACGATCTAATGCTATAGAATCCCATTCATGTTTTTGTAATGTAAAAGCATTATGTAATTCTAAATCTAATGTATGATAAGAACCTGTTAATAAAAAAAAATTTGATTTTGTTTTATTTTGTTTTTAATAAATTATAATTTTTTACCTTTTTTAACAAATTCATTTTCTTCAATAGTACGTCCTTTGACTCGTAGGGCACATGCAGCACTATCATAACTAACAGAAACGACTTCAATTGTTAATGTCATTCGTTTTTTTGTTGTTGTTGATGAACCAGTATCAGTTGTTTGAACAACTTTTCGTACAGTTGATGCACGAAGACTATCACCAACAGCAATTAAATTATAAGCATGCCACATATCTTCTTGTTCTTCAGGTTCAAGTTTAAGTTCACCACTTGAACCACGATCAATATTTTTTTTTATTAAACGCATTGTCAAATTATTATAATTTTTATTTTGTTTTGAATTAAATCATATCCGTCACCAAAATACGCAATATAAATATGAATCTAAAAAAAAAAAAAACGTATTTTTTATTGTTCTTTCGAAAGTATATTACACGTTAGAATGATTCATCATTTTCCAACTTTATTTTTCTTGGTCAAAATGTTTTACCAATAGAATCATACATAATAAAATAACAGTGCTAAGGTCGTGTGAAGTAAGACAAACTTCATGTTACCCCAACTCAAGTCCATGGATCCATATTATACGTTTTTCCTATTTATATATTACACAATAATCACCAGATGTCATCAGCGGACAAAGAACTATGATCAGAGATTTGTTTTCTTACAAAAGAATGGTGTCTTTTCGAGTACCATTGGTATTAAGCTTCATTTTGTTGTTGTTATTATTTTTAGCTGCTCAATGAAATCGAATGTTTGTAAAAAAAAACAAAAAACTTTGCAATATGTTAGAATTTTATGTGTTGTGTGCTTTTTATATTCATTTATTTATTTCATAAAAATAAAGCAAGTTTTTTCTGAATTTTCTTTTTAATACTGGGCGTTAGAACCTGTCAAGTTAGTCTCGAACTCACTCTGGCCTAGGTCTGAAATTTTACTGTTAATCTGATCTGAAAATTTTGCACTTGATATGTTGTACTAGATATTCTTTAAGAATGGCCTCTAATTTTATCGAAAGAACAAAATACAATGTTCTTTAAGTGCAGAAAGTTTAAAAGAAAATATTACACCGTCGTATAGAGATACCTGTAAATGTCAATAAAAATTACCTCTGGATTTTTTTAGATTTTTTCGCTATTTGTTAGCATATAATCTAATAAGACTCTCTGTTAACGATTGAGTCAATTGAACTAATTGATAATGAACGCTAAAATTTTTATAGTATCAAACGGCCACTATATCGAATGTGGCAAAAGTTTTGTGACATGCTGTATTTTGCATATAACTTTGTCCAGGAACATAATAAAATGAGGATTATTTTGCGACGTTTAACTTTTTTTTTTTTTTTGCTATTCCTTTCAACAGTCGAAGTAATTTAATCTAGCAATTTTTGCATCGAGCTCACTGTTTTCAAGCAACACAGCAAAAAAAACAAACATTTTATGTCGGAGCGAAGCATCTAGATCTATTGACACAGGTGTTTCTTTTTTCATTTGTATTTGAGGTAAGGACAAGAAAATAATTCTCATGGTATGTAATTCATTGTAGGTCTTTGATTGGTCTAAACAATAGAGTCAAAATGAATGAACAGTAATTATCAAAACCAAAATTAAAACAATTTTCGATTATCTCTTATTTTTCCTTACATCGAATACAACTCGGCATTTAATCGTATACATTCTGAACTACATTGGCGTCGGATCGTGTTTCCATGAAAACATACCAAAAATTAAACTGCATCTTAAAAACACCTTTAAAGGTCTCTTCTATTAAACTAGTTCTTGAAGTCCAAAAAATGTTATTGGGAAAGAGATAACTGCAAAAAAGAAGGTCTCTTTTTTTTATTACAATATGTTTTGAATGAGATGGAAATCGCTTAAACTAAAGTGAAAGCTTTAGAGAAGACGGTTAAAAATCTCTGTTTTCGTTAAAACCTCTTCATGTTCATTTATAATTACTTTTACTTAACATGTTTGATTAAAAGCTGTGTTCAAAGTTATTTGTTTATAAGGAATCCACAACCATGAGACAAACGATGGATTATATCTCCATGGTAGAGAGAGACGACATTAGAATTTTTTTCTTATTGGTCGATGATCAGATATTTAAAGTCATTTCTTATGAAACTAATTGAAATAAGGGAGTTGTGTATCGTCTTTTTATGAAATAAATTTATAAAAGATTGGAATTTTTACTTGTTACCTCCCTGTACTGATGTGCGAAGTGCACATAGTTATGAGTGTATCTACTGAGTAAATTATCAAGCAATTTGATGACTTTTACTCAATTTTTGATTCATGTTTACTACTAATTTGCGTTACGAGCAGAGTAAACTGTAGTATATCGTGGTCTCATGCACGAATGGTGGGAGCCGAATCTGTATAGGAGCGATTTTTCTCATATTTTACTTTTCCGTTACCCGCAAGAATTAGTAACGGACACCATATTGAAAATGAAGGTTTCTGAAAATCATTTTGTTTTATGTATATTCTCTCCAAACTTTACTTTTTCAAACAGAAAAATCTCGAAGTCAATCCGATATGAAATTGTTGAGAAATAAACTTCGTGGTTCTTTATGATTATCATCTTCTCCTCTAGATTTTGTTCGTTTTTCATCGAATTTGTTGATGTGTCTGTCTTATTTTCGCTTTTAAATTGATAAATTTCCATGTATAAATAATAATTGATTTATTTTACTAAAATGCTATTCTTTATAATAAAAGCGATTGTATCAAATATGATAAAGGATTGTCATTTTCTTGTTAATTTAATGTTAATTAATTCTTTTTTTAATTTCAATTATTGGTAATTCAATTTACATATTAATTAAATTAAAACTAAATATAGCTAGACAACCATAGTATGATATCCAGATTATCTTGATTAGAAAAATTCAACACACTNCAGCGTTAAAAACTGAGTCGATTTATATATGTTGTGGATAATTCTGAGAAAAACATTTTTTTTTTCGAAAATCCCTGTACTCCCCCTCAGGGATGCTCTGATCAAAAATGACAATTTTTTCGATAACTCAGCCATTTCTTGACGGATCCTTCTCATCTTCGAACTCGACCTAGATATTGATGAGACAATTCTGTGCACAAAATTTCAGCTCAATCGAATGTCATTGTGAAGAGTTATCGAATAAACGGCCGGACGGCCGGACACACTGACCGATTTTAGTAGTGTACTCACTTTTTAAGTACACAAAAAAGACTATAAATACATATAAGACTACAGCTGAGTAAGAAATGCTTCCTTAGATTTTATTTTATTATTTAGAAAATCCAATATTTCCTCGTTTTAATAGTAAAAAAGTCTTACTTATTGCAGGTTCTATTATCAAAACTTCGTTAAAAAAACAAAATAAACATCATATTCAGAATCAGCGTAAAAATCTACACTGGGTCACATATGTTTTATCTAAATCAGTTCTCCATAGAAAACGTTTCGGCATATTTCCTTTTCAGAAAACTACAGAGTTGCAAGAAATCCCACTAACAGGTAAAATGTATATCAACTTATATTCTTTTGCATGATATTTTTACTACAAATAGAGCTTGATAAACTCTTATCGCAAGCAGCAACCGAACGTCGATACGGTTTAATGTAAAGAATTTACGATGAAAACACTGTTTCTTTCACTATGACCCAAAAAAGTCTTTTTTGATTTTCCACTATTTAAATGCGTTTAACCTCCATTTTCTTATAAAAATAGAGAAGGATTCTCATGTCTAGATTGTGTTATACATAGGGTACTTCAATTCGTTGTAATCTTGAGGCGTAGAAAAGTTTCCATTGTCTAGGATGGTCTCAATATAAATCTTTTTTTTTTCATTGATGGTTGTGATCGTGAAATTACGAGAGAAAACTTGATTAGAGCAGAGTACTATATAATTGAAGAAAATTTCAAGGTAAATGGCTAAAGTGAGTCAGAGATATGAGTCACTTTTCAACGATTCTCATGTCCTCTTGGGCTGAGGGTATTCAAGAATTACTTTATAAATCTGACAAATTGAAATTATTTCATATATAATATTTTAATTAACTATCCGTATTTGTAATTAGTTCTTCGAACTCTATTAAATCACATATATAAATCGATGAAAAATAAAACCCATTCGAATTTTACATTACGTTAGAAAAATGATATTTTTCTATAAATATTTGTATTTATTTTTAATAGCTCATCCAAATGATAATAATGAATTATTTGCTAGTACATTATATCATGCAATATGTGTTTTTTGTAATGCACCATCACCACCATTACCTATTCGAAAACTTCTTTTACTTCTTTGGAAAATTCTATTGGTTTGTGTTTCAGATTTATTCTTTATCAAATAAATATTAATATTAATTGTTTCTTTTGTTTTGAAATAGTATACTCTTGGCGGTGTTGATGATGCATTTGAACAAAAAAATATAGCTCGACGTGAATACGACCTTGAACCTATTGCTGAAAATCCAGCTAAAGTTATTGCAAGAATGCCACCTATCTCACCACCATTAGCAGGTGCTGAATGTTTAGAAATACAAGGTCAAAATGAAGGTGGAAGTAGTGCGCGACGAGCTAAACGACAAGTGAGTTAAAGATAAATTCTATTAATAATCTTCTATGTTTTCTTAAATAGAGTTTTACAAAACAATCGGCATTAGATTCAGATGTTACTAGTGATGATGGTTCGACAAGTGGAAATAATACATCAAATGATGATGATACTACAACAATTATGGCATCAACACCAACATCATCTCTTAGTTCATCAGAATCCATGACATCATTAGCTAGTGATGCATCAAGTATTGATCCAGCATCAACTTTACTTATGAAAGAATTACCTTGGGTACCAAAAGTTAGGTAAAAGAAACTTTTTTAAGCAATCATTTATGTTGTAATATATTTATTTATATAGACAAAAAGATTTAGAAGTATTTCTTGAACATACTCGAAAGAAATTTGTTGGTTTTACAATAAAAGATGATCTAACAACATTAATTGGTTTACCAAAACCTATTCACGAAAGCATCAAAATCCTAAAACAAGTATAAATTTAAATCGAAAAATTCTTTTTTTTTTTTAATAGTTTTTATTTTTCTAGCATTTATACATACCATTATCCGAAATTCAGATGACAATTGAAGATGAAGTTGTCAAATATCCACTTTCAAAGGTAGAAAAGAAAATTTTTTATTTATGATAATGACTATTACGAGTCAAATCGCTGATAGATTAATAGATCTTAGATCAAGTCGAATCACAAATAAGTTAACGATTGACGACGAGAAGCATTGGACTCTGCATAGAATCTGACGATGGTTTTTTTATTTAAAACTATCATTATTCCATCGGTCGTGATGAGTATTGACAAAATCTACTAGAATTTGACTTTGCGATCTCCGCTTGTTGAGTTATGAGCGCTTTATCTGGTTTTACCCTATGCACACAGAATCGTTTAGAGTCTGGATGATTGTAACTCGAACTAAAAGTTTGTTCACAGATAGACCTTATACTCTCGAGAAACATCCCAAAGTTTGAGTCAGAACGGACTTAACCTTAATAAACGGGATCCGGACAGTTGGTCGCATGGAAAATTGGTCGCACGGATAGTTGGTCGTATAGTGTAAATAAGAGGAATATGGGTGTGGGTGTGGGTGTGGGTGTGGATGGGTGTGGGGTATGGGAGTGGGCGTGGGGTATGGGAGTGGGCGTGGCCAAGTGTAGATATAGTTCTTCTCGCCTCTCCACTCTCGCACACATCCACACCCTCAAATGTTCTCTGTTTAATTATTTATAAAATAATAAATAATGTTCAATTCCCAGGTCGAACTCACCCCATCGGATCCAATGGAAATTCGCCGGAAGTTTTCGGAATCCTGGTATCGGATTCCGACAGGAAGTTGTCGGATGTCGGAAACTGTCGGATTTTCAGGGTTCCGACAGGATCCTGACCATTCCGACACTTTTCGACATCCGACAGTTTCCTGTCGTAATCCGGTACCAGGATTCCAACGAATTCCCATCGGATCCGATAAAATCCGATAATTTTCCCGATAAGATCCGACAGGATCCGACTGTCGGATTGTTCGTCCTGGGTTGTTATTGCACTTCATATTCCTCTTATTTATGCTATGCGACCAACTGTCCGTGCGACCAACTGTCCATGCGACCAACTGTCCGGCGACCAACTGCCCGCGCGCAACTGTCCGGCGACCAACTGTCCTAAACCCCTCATAGGATGTGGATAGGATGTAGCCATTGATGTCAATCACACCTGTACTCATATCTGTGAATTCAGCTGCATATAGTTACAATTTTTACTCATAGTAGTTACTGAAACTTTGATTCCTTGTTTTTTTTGTTTTAGAAAGAAACTGATATATCTGACACTGCTGCTGAACGATTATATCGAGCAACTCTCGCACAAATTCCACAATTTCTTGTGAGTATAATAAGAAAAAAAAAAGTCTAAATATGAAATTTTTAATTGATTTTCTTATTCAGATTGCTTTACTTAAATTACTTTTAACATCAACACCAACTGCTAAACCAAAAACAGAAACTATTAATATACTTTGTGATGTTATTCCAGAAGAAATGCCATGTTCAATGGTACAAACAATGAAACTTGGATTTGATATTAATCGACATAAAGTAAAATCAAATGATTTCAATTTTCATTTATTCAATATATTTATAAATTAATTTCTAGGAAATGATTGTCAAATCTGTTTCAGCTATTTTATTACTTCTTTTAAAACATCTTAAAGTTAATCATATTTATCAAGTAATAACTTATATATTGAAAATTTTTCTATGAATAAAAAAAATAAATTTTTCTATTTAGTTTGAATATGTTTGTCAAAATCTTGTCTTTTCAAATTGTATAACAGTTATATTAAAATTTTTCAATCATAATATTCTTTCTCATATTCAAGCAAAAAATACGTAAGAAAATTTTTTTTTTTTGTTTTTTCTTAGTTTAATCAATTGATTATTGTTTTTTTTTTTTTTTGTTTATCTCATTAGAATTACACCTCTTGATTTTCCTACCTGTGTTATTGGTCCTCAACCAGAATTAACAGCTGATTTATTTGATCTACCAGAAACAGAAAATTATTGTTGGCGTAATATGTTTTCATCAATAAATCTTCTTCGAATTTTAAATAAATTAACAAAGGGGAAACATGCAAGAACAATGGTGCGTTGTTTTTTTTCTTTAAAAAACAAAACAAAAATTTTGTCTCTTTTTTTTTTTCATATTAATAAAATTTAGGTTCTTGTTGCTGTTAAATCTGCTCCAATTCTACGTAAAACTTTACGTGTTAAACAAGCTATGATGCAATTATATGCATTAAAATTATTAAAATTACAAACACGTTATCTTGGTCGACAATGGAGAAAATCTAATATGATGGCTATTTCAGCTATTTATCAACGTGTTCGACATCGTCTTAATGATGATTGGGCATATGGAAATGAACAAGAAACGCAAACATGGGATTTTCAAACAGAAGAACGAGCACTTAGAAATAAAATTGATACATTTAATCAACGTCGTTATCATCGTTTATCAATATCTCAATCAAATAGCAATAATACTAATAATAATCTAGCTAATGCTAGTACACAAAATGCTTCAACGAATGAATTTGATTTTGATAGTTTTATTCCATTAAATAATGATTTATTAACTGCACTTTCATCAAATTCTAATTTAGGTGATCATGATCTACCTGAATCATTTAAACGACATTATGAACAATGGCTTAATGATGAAGTATTTAATGTTGAACAACAAACAGATTGGGATGCTTTATTACAACCAAAATCAATTGTCATTTATTAAAAAGGAACAATAAAACTTTATTCTCTTTAAATATTTGCAGGTTTATCAATAACCAAAAAATAAATAATAAAAAACAGCGAGAAAAAAAGCAAAATTGTTTGTATTTGAACATTTTTATTACTTTCTTTATGCATTTTCTGAAAGGAAAACAAAATAGATAGCATATTTTATAACATAGATTTATTTAAAAACTTGAATTTATCATTGAATGTACTACGCTTGAAGTGATATTTTTCTAGGAGCCATTGCACGGTAGGCATTACCAATTGTGCTCAATCGATCTCATGAATTTCGATGAAACTTTGCTCAAATGTAGCCTTAAGTGATACATGAAAACACTAAAAATTTCAGCTTCTAAAACCATTCTCTTCTTGAGCTATTGCAATCACAATAGAGGCACCCTGAGGAAAAAAATGACAATAATCAATGTAGTACCTATACATTGTATACTTCATCATTATTCAACAATAATGTTTTTAGCCTTGAAATTTTGTAGTTATATACTACCGTGAGTACTCTACATACTGGCATACTCAAAATTATTTTTCGATGTGTTAAGCAATATAGAGGTATTTTATAGGCCCAAGATATACCTTCAATCTTGTGATCAAGATTTCTACCGCTTATGAGCTTCCGCTTTGGAACTAAGTACTACTTCCCCTCAACTATTCGCAACAATTATTAAAACCTCGGGTATTTCATTTTGACCCAAACAAAAACCTTTTCTATTTTATATAAAGATTAATTTGGGTAAAATTCGGGTCAACTTCTAGAAAAGTCGCCAAGTACAGATCAGCATATTCTACTCAGTTTGAGATATGTTGTACAGAAAAGAGTTTTAGGAATTTTGACGCAAATCGTTTCAAAAAATATTGTTCCGTTATCGAGACATTCAAACTTTTCTAAGAGCACTATCATCATGCAACAATCACATTTTTAATGATTTGCATGGTCTGATCTCCAAAGACATAGGATGTGTGGCAGTCGGGCTCATGTGGGTTTGACGTACCCACTTCATCATGTTAAATAAATTCTATCTCACTTAAATCAGTAGGGGGGGGGGTCTATCGAAGAACCTCTAAGAATGACAATTTTTTTCGAAAAAAACGTCGTACCCTAAGAGACTGTTAGCGAACAGACTTCATAAAAATGACTGTAACCTCTGTCTATGTGGATTTCCAAAAAAAAGTTCTGTTATTTTCAACACTACTTTAATGGAAATCTATAAAGAAACACATCAATTCCTACAATAGAATTTATTTAATTTGATGCAACTTTGCTATTCACTTTTTCATGAACTTGAGTATGTTTTCTATGGATAATGGGCTACTTTTGAGTATTCTTCAATAAGTCTCCCAAACCCATTCTAGGAGATCTCGCGTCAATTCTTGCACAATTTTGTAGTATTCAGTGCTAAATAGAAAATCGCACCAACCTAGCTTGTATTGATAAAGTATTTCGGGATATTGGTTCTTGGCGAAATTGTAATTTCGATGAACATGAGGATTTTATAGAAGCTCTGCTCTGCGATACAAACTATTCAAAGAACCAAATTCTTTTCACAATAATTCGATCAATGAGATTCATCTATAGCGAAAAATTAGTTGTGCAAAATAATTTATTCGTGCAATATGTACATTTACATGATATCAAAAAATGGTCATTTTTTCGTAGTCTTCGTAGCAGTAATGAACTTATCAGTGGTACATTTATGCGAACTCAGCTTTTCCAATAATTAAATTAACTTGAGATGTGTAAATGCTAGGCATTTTAAACCGAAACGATGCATTTTCTCTGGGATATGTTCATCTTAAAAGACCTCAAAACAAGTGTTTTTCACTAAAGGTATTCAGATACATACTTGAATATTTCGAAACGGAACAATATGTTTTCAAAGTCTTCGTGGCAAAAGTTCTTAAACTCTTACTTTTACAATATGTTACAGAATCTTGGATTTTCAAAAACTTTGAATGAAATCAATTTGAGTTGTATTTCATGCAGATTGGCTTATAACATCGGATACCTAAACTCCTAATGGTTTTGCTCAGGATATTTTAGACTGTCAATCATTGTCAAAGGCTAGAGATGCATCTACGTATCTCTAGTCTACATCCTGCTTATTTCATAAGAAATCTTGGAAGAATCCATCAGGATCCTGAATCTCAAGGATCTCGTCAAGTTTTTCGCAGAATCCTGTCTAATTCCTCTCTCCACTATTTCTCGTGGTTAGACATGATCCTGGTAAGGATTTTTTAAGGTTTCTGCCCAAATATTCTTTTTCTGACTCATAAATGCAGGATCCTACAAGAATTCAACCTTGACCTTGCTCAGGATCCTTAAAAGAATAATCGAGAAGATTCTTCAAAGATTTCATCAAGTTTTAGACAGCATCGCATCTGGATCCTTACACAAGGATCGAGAAAACTGTTGCCACTTTATTAGACTAGGCTCGTAACAAAAATTCGAAACAAGAACCTATCAGTGACTGTAATAGTATAAGTTGGTATAAGATGAACTCGCATTTACACCCACAACCACTTCCTGTTTCTTGAATAATTCTCGATTTCAGAAGAGCTGATAAACTACTAAGGATCCCGGATGAATCCTATTTCGAATCCTGAAATTTCGTGGTGACATACTTCTTTGAGGATTTAGTCGTTTCTTCAAGAAAAAAGAGTGAATCTTTGAAGAATTCTAAATCTGTCAGTTAAAGATTTGACACGGAAGCATTCAAGATTTTCTCTAGGGATCTTCTATATCAGAGTTGTATCTTTCGTATTCTCATGCTATTCCAGCATCAGGGATCCAGTGAGGATCCGATGATCCGCTTTTCTCCTTGATCACATTTATCATTTCAACAGGAATCAAAATATGTTATAAATTCAAATTCTATAATAAATCTTTCATTCTAATATTAAATTAGAAGAGCTCAATGACAATGAATAGCAATATTTTAGGCTACGGAGAATGTGTTCTTCCTCTGTTACAATATTTATCAAGTATCGAATACTTAGCATTGCTGTATAGCGTTTAATATAACTGAATCAGATCACTTTATCAATGAATTTCATTTAGAAATGTCCTATTTGGCCCCTCACGCACCGCAAATATTGACCAGATATTGGCGGCGCAAAGAGTTGTTACTATTGCTGCTGACGAAAGCGTAAGAAGTCGTTTAAAAGTTTCATCGTTTGCCAACGCATGAATGACTTCTTCTCGGTGTGCGCCATCAGCATCATCAGTTTATACATAATAATAGTCAGTTTTGTATGTATTTTGACGACGCTAACCACTGTTTTCGCTCATACGCTGTTTACTTCCTGAGTTCTTGTGTCTGTCACCTTGATAATTAGAATAATGAGCTCTCATTGTTTGCTGCGTGAATCACGATAATAAAACAAAAATGAAGCAAAGAAAGGAATGCAAGCAAACAACGATGTGTCTGCTCTAGACGAAGAATAAATGTGAAGTGTGTTGTGGTTTTCTGTGTCAGTGGTGATGATTTTTTATTTCTTGTGATTTGTAGTCTTCGCTTGTTTTCTTTCTTTTTATCTGCATTTATTTTTTTAAGACAAGTTTAAACTCTTATTTATTTTTTAAATCAAAGGAAAAGAAACCGAGCATCCTCGCCCACTGTTGACATGAAAATATATAGTCAAGTTTGAGAGTGTGAATATCGTCGAATCATGCCCGTGTTCGATTGTAAATGATAGCATACTACTTGTGTCAAAAGTCATAGCTTCATTAAAACAGATGAAATGATCGTGGTATCTATGTTGGAAGTGCACTTGGCCCAATTTGTCGTCCTTGTCGTGGACCGCCCCTTTTCACATTGCTCCATACTTTAGGTAAAGTACCAAGACACACGAATGGTAGTAAAAAGACAGGAAAGTAGGAGATAAAGAAACACGTTGGTCCGATTTCATTGGCGAAATTGGGTTCACCATATAATCGAACGAGATAAATGATTCCCAGCGGAAGGCAGAAGCACAAATATAATAACGATGTACAAACGAGATTCACCGTTAGTTTCCATTGCTTTCGCCACTGAATGTGTCGATGAATTTGATATTTTTTCCAAATGACACGGGCAAGTAACGATATGCTGAAGACTGCGATGAGAGACATCGCTATCATATCAAAACCCAACATTTCCACTGTGGCAAAAAATCGTACTGATTCGTAGCATGCATTCATACCGCACAAATCCAACGTGTAGTCAAAGGTATTCTCACAAGGCGGTGCAAATATTGCTACGCTATAGAAAAGCATAACTATCAGTACAGCCATAGAAAATGGAAAGTAGTGGATTAGCAGACGTTTCTGCCATGTGGCTACTAGTTCAGTATGAAAAATAAGAATGTGCCGTTCAATTACTGCCCAAAGGAGTACGAGCACATTGTTGAAAAAGAAACCCCAATCAATAAACCACCAAATGAGACAAAGCACGGATGTAGCAGGACGAACGATACCTGTATGAAAATATTGTAAATGCAGTGGTATGTCGATCAGTTGATAGATGAGATTGAACGACAGCATGAGGATTGATGCATGGTTGTGAAGCGCTTCACGCAAAGCTCGTTCCATTAATAAGTGATAGAGGACGAGAATAGAGCAAAGCACAGAGGACACGTTAAATCCAAGAAATAACCAGAAACGCAGAGTTCGCTCAAGTTCGTAGCTTGGAATCGATGTATTTGAATAGGAGCTATCTTTCTCAGATACCAGCATCATTTAGATTAGATGTCTGTAGTTATGTTTATTTCACGGTTTGCGTAAAGTTTATAAGAATGGATGTCAGCTAGACTAATGAAATAATGTAATTAGAATGAATTTTTCAAAAGATATGACTTTGCATTCAATGACAAAGAGAGACTTGAGTGCGCATGTGCAAGACGAAATCTGGTCGCTTTCGCTATAAGGAGATGAAAAATGAAGTTTGTCGGGAAATATATAGACTAGCTCTTCCTTCTTAGTAAAAATAAGATGATATAGTTTCA